GATATACAAATCAAACAGATAAATCAGAACTTTATCTAAAAAATCACCCAGTCCAGGTAAATTTATGTACTAAGAAACATTAGGAAAAAAGCAAGATACTAAACTGATTTAAAACAATTTGTCTCACACCAATCCAGAAAATGTTACCTTTACAACTTGATCTGAAATTTTGCACATAAAATTTTGAATAAAGACTTTCTGGCTGTCGTTGTATCCAATATCACTCTCTTCCCAGACATTTTGGGAGAATAAGAAATATGTTGTACAATCCACAGGCTTAGATTCCACTATTCTATTCCATCTAGCCTTGGAAGATTCCATCTTTCTTCACCTAAGTTTGGCTCGAAGAATATCCTTTGTTTCACACCCAAGTTTGGCTCCCACGTACAGCATCGCCCTAAACTGGGCACAGAAAACTGAAGACACTCCGTTTTTATCTCATGCAAATCTCGGACCAGAAAGAATCATCCAGCTTCATTCAGCTACCCAGACACGTACCGTTCTTTGCTCCTAATCCTTTCCCCAAATAGTTAAACTCGACTCGAAATGGAGACAGAGACAGGAAACCGAGTCTGAGCCCCTCCAATCCAACCCCGCTCCAAGCCTGAATCCGCTCTCCCGCCTCAAGCCTGAGCGTGGAGAACCTTCGCTGCAGCCCACCTGGTCCGGTCCCAGGGCCTGGGATCCTGCTGGTCCTGATACACTGGTGCCAGGCAAACCAGGCTGGGGCACAGCGGGACAGGATGCTCCTCAGATGCTGACCACTCTCGGAGCAGGGAGGCGGCCGCACACTGACAACTGGGGCGACGCACAAACCACGCACACAAACACACACCACTGATCCGCCTTAAGGGAGGTTAGCTATGCTTCCCGGCTGTCGGGAGGCGGCGCCCAGGGGTAAGGGGTCGCAGCTGGACTCAGCCACCCCCATGGACCTCACCTGGAGCGGCTCCGCGGCGGCCCAGCTGCGGCTGCACAGCTTCGGCGCCTCCTGATTGGCTCATCGCATATTCGCTTCCGGGTGAGAGGTTGCCCGGTTGCCCAAGCAACCGAGTCGCTCTGGGAGCTGTGTGGGCTAGCGCTTTGCTCCCTCCATACCGCAGAGCTGGCAGCCCAAGGGGAATCGCAGAGTCCAGAAAGTTTCTCCGACCTCTCTCCAGCAAGTGAGTGCCCTTCCTCCCAAGGCCCTGGCGGGGAAGGGCACCTGTAAATAGAATTTTTGGGAGCCAGAGCTCAGCCCGGTAACTCCCGACCGGGTGTGACAAATCTGTGTACACTGCGGTGTGGGGGGGATTCTGACATTGATTCAGCCCGAATTCGTTGTTGTGACACCTTAGGCAAGAGCCAGCCTCTCTGGGCTTCAGTTTCCTTCATGGTGCTGGATGGTGTCGATCTTTGAGGTTCCGTCCACTTCCAACATTCCAAAGTTTCGAATGTGGAACTTTCTAAGGGCAATTGAAAATAGTTCCGTGTCTTTTACGATTACTTTTAGTGTTCTGCTTAGTAGACATTTAATGACCCTTCCTAAGTGCCATTCATTCGCTAAATAGACAGTTCATATTAATACTAAACACTGAACTCAGGAGGGGGATAAAAAAGATTTGATTAACTCGCGAGTCCTGTCCTGAGGAGATGGGTGTGATAGGGAATTCTGACACGAAAGCATTGTTTTAATAGAGCCCTAAGTACTGTGGGGGCTTCTTAAAAGAATCTGGGGGGAAAGAGAAACGAGAAAACTTTGAGACTGACAATTCTTGAGCTGGTGCTACAGGATAACAATGGCTAATACCTACAGAGTTAGACACTAGCCTAGTGCTTTACGTGGATTAGCTCATTTAATCTAAGGATGAGGAAATTGAGACATAACTAATTTGTCCAACTATAAAGGGGGAGTCCCATTCACCTACGTGGACTAATGCCAGGGCATGCCTGAACCCCTAAATACTGTACTATACTTTCCAACTCCTCCAGGATGAGTTAACCAGCCAAAGAAGAGATGTGTGTTGCAGGGAAAAAAGTACAGTATTGCTGCTGGAGCTTTTACAAGGACATCTCTAGATCATTAAACACAGAAAGCAATTCTGTGTCCCTGTCCTCTTGGAAATTTTGAAGACATATATCTGTTTACCTCTACAGCCAAATCAGAATGACTGGGAAAAAATGAACAAATATAGTTAAATTTTTATTCTTCTAAGATTTAGTGTAATTGATGTCTATATTTAATCCCAAACAAGGTCAGAATTCCAGCAAGATTGCGCTCTACTCCTCACAGCACTTCCATATTGTTATCAGAATTCTAATTATAGTCTATTTTAAAAGTTATTCTTTAAAAACATTTTTTTATAATTGTAGATGGACAGAATTTCTTTATTTTTATGTTGTGCTGAGGGTGGAACCCAGTGCCTCACACATGCTAGGCAAGCGCTCTGCCACTGAGCTACAGCCCCAGCCCTTAAAAGTTTTTCTTAATAATAAATTCCTAAACTGGGTGCAGAATGCCTGTAATCACAGCAGCTTTGGAGGCTGAGGTAGGATTACAAGTTCAAAGCCAGCCTCATCAACTTGGCAAGGCCCTAAGTAACTCACTGTGACCGTGTCTCTAAATAAAATACAAAAAAGGATGGGGGTGAGAAATATGGTGGAATGTGACAGACATCATTACCCTAGGTACATTGTATGATTGCAGGAATGGTGTGACCCTGCTTTGGGTACAACCAGAGAAGTCCAAAATTGTGCTCCAGTTGTGTTCAATAATTGAAGAGCATTCTGTAATGTATAACTGATTAGAATAAATAAATAAATAAATACCCAAAGTAGGGTCACAGGGATGGTGTGACCCTACTTTGGGTACAACCAGAGAAGTCCAAAATTATGCTCCAATTGTGTTGAATAATCAAAAAGCATTCTGTAATGTATAACTGATTAGAATAAATAAACAAACAAATACATACATAAAATTAAAAAGGACTGGGAATGTGGGTCAGAGGTTAAACACCCCCTGGGATTAAATCAATCCCTGGTTGTTAATAATAATAAAATTCCTAATGACATAAAATAATATTACTTAACAGAAAGTATTTTTTTCTCAAAAATAAAATAAAAATGCATTTTTACTAATTGCTTTGTTCCTCATTTTGTTTTTGTTTTCTTATTTTCTCCTGGATTCATTTTTCTCCCTATTAGAGTTTATTTCCTTGTATTTCTTTCAAGGACAAAGTGTGAGTACTAAATTCTGAATTCTGCCACGTCCAAAAAATAGTTTAGTTTCCATCACTTTGGACTGATATTTTTGCTGAGGGTAGAACATTGGGTTCAAATAATTTCCCCCCTCAAAGATTTAAATACATCACATTTTTGTTTTTAATATCTACTATTGCTTATGTCAGTCTGATTCTTATTTTTTTTACTTTGTTATAGGTAATCTGGTTTTTGTTTGCCTAATTGGCATTTGTCTCTGTGTTGTTGAATTTTACTTCAAATTGTCTACCTGTGCAGTTTACTTAGTATTCATTTACAGTCCAAGCACTCATTTTCTTCAGGTCTAACAAGTTTTTGAGTATTCAAATATTGTGTCCTCCCCTTATTCTTTCCCTCTAGAAATTTTATTAAACTGGCATTAAATATTTTGGATCTATTTTCCATTATCTTAGAATTTTTCTTTGTGCTACTTTCTGTGAGAAATTTCGACCTAATCTACCAGTTCACTAATTTACTTTTCAATTAAATCCATTCTACTATCCAATCCTTCTGAAAGTTTTATTTCACCAGTTTTATTATTAAGTTCCTTGCTAATTGATTTTTAGCTGCCTGTTCCTCCTTCTCTCTCTGAGGATGTTAGAGTATTTTAAAGTCTTAAACCTATTGTGCTATTAACTCTTGAGATGAGCCTCCAATCTTTCTCAGTTGGCACTTAAGTTACCTTTTAAATTAAAACTATCTGTTCCCTTACCCTATGCAGAGATTCAGTAGATGTGAGGTAGGGCCTAGGAACTTAGAGATATTCAAGCCGATTCTTACGCATAGGCCACACTTTGACTAACATCTTAATAGAGTCTACTGTCCAAGAAGTTAGAGTTCACTTATTCTCTATATATTTTCTTCAGTTTTGGAAAAAAATATATTGTTTTACATTTTGCATTTAGTCTACTAAGTGTTCCAGGGTTCAGAGACAGAGATTCCCCTCAGTCTTGTGGTCTTCTTTTTTTCCTTTTTAAAACCTGGTCTCCATTCCAGACTCACTCTACTTAGACTTCCCTCCTTCCTCACTTATTATATTTTATATTTCCTCCTATTACCTAATCAAATATTCCTCACCACCTTACCTCTGTTGAACATAAATTTGTACATCAATGTTATAGCAGCATTATCCTTAACAGCCTCAAACTAGAAACAACTTAAATGTACATCAAGTGATGAATATGCTATTTCTATACAATATATTTGTTAATAAGAAGGAACAGAGAACGAAGTTTTGATACTTGGTACAAACTGATGAAACTTGAAAACGTGTTAAGTGAAAGAAGCCAGTCACAAAGGACCATTTATTGAATCCATTTCTAAGAAATAAATAGGCAAATCTATTGAGATAGTAAGTAGATTAGTGGGTAATGGGGAATGGAGTTTTGAGGGGAATGGTGAGTGAGTACTGGTGGGCACAGGATTTTTTTGGGGGGTAATTAAAATATTCTAAAATTAGATTGTGGTGATAGTTGCACAACTCTATATACTCAATATACTAAAATATTGAATTATATACTTTAAAGGATTAATTTGTGATATGTAAATTACACATTAATAAAGTTGTTATATTAAATGATCACTCATTTAGTCAAAATTATTTATTTCCCCAAAACCCTACACTAGACATGAAACTACCAAGTAATATAGTTGTGTTATTGTGAATTGAGTCTATTTAGGTAGTGCTTAACCCTCACTTATAGGTCTTATGACACAAAATATTTAAACTTATATGACTCTTTTCAAATCTTTTAAAGCAACTTCAGAAGTGTACAAGATAAATTTTATATTTCCCAATGGAGACAAGTATGGTAAGCATACATTTCAATTACTTTTCCTCTGCAGAATATTAAATAGCCTAAGAATAAATAAATGAGACTCACATTTTATGAAACTGCTATTGGGATATTATTTCAAGTAAAATAACAGAAATCCTAATAGATGAACAGATTTAAAATCAAAACTCCATCATTATGTCTAGATTGTATGGAAATTTATAGAATCTGCTAGTCTTTTTGGTCCTGGGTCTCAGTGGTTACAAGATGTTCTGAGTTCATGTATTGTCTTATCTCTGCTGTCATTGGTTTTAATGCTGGGAAGCCAAAAAAAGCAAACAAGACAAAAAAAAAAAAAAAAAAAAAAAAACCCACATGTTTTTTCCCCAGACATTAATACTATAATTTTTAGTCAAACACAAGTCCTATTTAAAAATCTTTAGTATTTCTCCCTTGTTTAGATGGTGAATGTATACGAACATCTTCTGGAATTTATGAGAGAAATGGAATAGGTATTCATACCACTCCTAATGGGATTGTCTACACAGGAAACTGGAAAGATGACAAGGTATTATTGTTGTTTGGAGGTTTTTTGTTGTTTGTTGGCATTGACCCCAGGCCCTCACACATGCCAGGAAAGCACTGAGCTACATTCCCAAGACATTTTATTTTTTATTTTGAGACAGGACATCACTAAATTGCTCAGGCTGGCCTCCAATTTAGGATCTTCCTGCTTCAGCCTCCCAAGTATCTGGGATTACAAGTGTTAGCCACTGTGCCCAGTTTATTGTTGTTTTTTCTATTTGTTATTTATTTATTCTAATTAGGTATATATGACAGCAGAATGCATTTCAATTCATTGTACACAAATGGAGCACAACTTTTCATTTCTCTGGTAGTACACGATGTAGAGTCACATACATGCAGTCATATATGTACCTAGGGTAATGATGTCCATCTCATTCCACCATCTTTCCTGCCCTCATACCCCCTCCCCTCATACCCCCTCCCCTCCCCTCTCACCCCTTGCCCAAAGTTCCTCCATTCTTCCCATGCTCTGTCCCCATTATGAATCAGCATCCACTTATCAGAGAGAATATTCAGCCTTTGGTTTTTTAGGATTAGTTTACTTTGCTTAACATGATATTCTTCAACTCCATCCATTTACCTGCAAATGCCGTAATTTTATTCTCTTTTAATGCTGAGTAATATTCCATTGTGAATATACATCAACAGTTTCTTTATCCATTCATCTATTGAAGGACATTTAGGTTGGTTCCACAGTTTAGCTATTGTAATTTGAGCTGCTATGAACATTTTTGTGGCTTTTCAATATAGAATGCTGATTTTAAGTCCTTTGGGTAAAGACCAAGGAGTGGGATAGCTGGGTCAAATGGTGGTTCCCTTCCAAGTTTTCTAAGGAATCTCCATACTGCTTTTTAGAGTGGTTGCACCAATTTGCAGTGCTACCAACAATGTATGTTTTCCCCCACATCCTCGCCAACACTTATTATTACTGTATTCTTGATAATTGCCATTCTGACTGGAGTGAGATTTGCATTTCTCTAATTACTAGAAGTTGAACATTTTTTTCATATACTTGTTGATCTATTATTGTTTTTAATACTGATTGTAAATGAATAATCCTATAGGCTAGATGATTCCATACATTTTACCATTAATAAAATATATATATGTATATAATGAGTAGACCAAACAATAAAAATAATAAATAATTATATTTAACATATGCCTAATATTAAACTCATGTAGAGAGCTAATCGTGTATCTTTCTCATCTCTTGTTTATGAAGTAAAGTAAAACCCATTAATAATTTTCTCACTTAATCCTAATAACAATCTCCTGAGATAGATGCCATTAACACTCTCATTTTGAGTAGGGAAATCAGACTCAGATTTCTTGCCCAGCTAGTAAGTGATAAAACAAGAATGTGTACTCAGGTTTACTTGAATCCAAATTCACATTCTATATGGCTCTCTACTATTGCCTGAACTAGTGATACCATACTATTCCTGAGCTAACGAAACTTGAAGATTTTTGATGTATTTAATATATCTTGAGGATCCTAATAAATCATCATGGACTCCCATGTGTTCAAATGACTCAATATGAGAACATTTGATTCAGTAGGCTTCACAGACAGATACAGAGGAAGGACAAATAAATTTGTCCTTTTTTTTTTTTTTTTCCAGGACTAGGGATTGAACCCAGGACACACTACCACTGAGCTACATACCAGTCCTTCTTATTTTTTATTTTAAGACAGAGTCTCACTAGATTGCCTAGGTTGGTGTTGAACTTGTGATCCTCCTGCCTTGGCCTCCCAAGTTGCTGGGAGTATAGGCATGCCCCATCACACCTAGCAAATTTGTTTCTTTTTGTGGAAATAAAGGGTGACACAAACATCATGACTTAATGTTAGATTTATATGTGCATAAATATATTTTTTAAAGGCTGGGGGAAACTGAAGTTTTTGTTTCTGAGGGAATTTTCTTTGTTACAAACAGATGAATGGTTTTGGAAAACTTGAGCATTTTTCAGGAGCAGTATATGAAGGACAATTTAAGGACAATATGTTTCATGGATTAGGAACTTACACATTCCCAACTGGGGCAAAGTACACTGGAAATTTCAATGAAAATAGGTAAGCTTTAATTTAAAAATTACTATAATTAAAAAATAGTCTTTGCTTAAATATTATATTTAGTTAATGCTAAATATTCTTTGATAATGTATTCAGTTTTAAGAATTGTTATTTTAGGGGATTGGGAGTATTTTAAGAGAGGCTAGGACTATCATAAGCTTCAAAAAGAGAATATCATTTTTAATGATAATTCATTAGACTATTTGTTTATCCCCTTTACTTCTCTATTAGTATAGAATTTTTTGTAGTCAGTTTGCAGATAGAAAACTTATTGCAATTATTAAGAAAATTTAGGCCAATAATAATTTTCACTTGAAATATTTTGATGCGGGGCTGGGGATGTGGCTCAAGCAGTAGCGCGCTCGCCTGGCATGCGTGCGGCCCGGGTTCAATCCTCAGCACCACATACAAACAAAGATGTTGTGTTCGCCGAGAACTAAAAAATAAATATTAAAATTCTCTCTCTCTCTCTCTCTCCCTCTCGCTTTAAAAAAAAAAAAAGAAATATTTTGATGCATTTTTAAAGTAGCCTTGGGAGTAATTTCATAATTATTTATTTCATTTTGACCTGACATGTGCATACCTTTTCAGTAGGCTAATTTTGTTTTCCCCTGCAATCCTGGTTATTGAACCCAGGGCCTCGTGTACGCTAGGCAAGTGTTCTACCACTGTGCTAAATCCCTAATCTTATTAGGCTAATTTTAAAAATCTGAGCAAAATTAGTTAATTTTCAATTTGTAGAAGCATACCCATTATTGCCCTTTCTGAGCATATGCTTATAGGAACATAAAAGTGAAATAAAACATGAATGAAGCTTTGCAAGCTTGATCACACACAGAATACCATGCCATGCTAGCTGGAGGTTCAAGTTCAAGTTCATTTATAAATACTACTATCTTATTTCTAGAATTGAGGTGGTTGATATGAATACATTTTGAGGTGGGTTGGCAAGTGTTCACCTATTTTGACTCTAATTTTGTGACAATAACAGATTACCTTTTCTAACTGATAAAAGGAGACAAAATATCTAACCTATAGGATAAAGCCTGTTTGTTTGTGTGAGTGCATTTTTACTACTCCAAAGTGCCCTAGAAAATACCAGTACAGCAGGGTGTGATGGCACACATCTGTAATCCCAGAAACTCAGGAGGCTAAGGCAAGAGGATGGGGGTTCAAAGCTAGCCTCACCAAAAGCAAGGCAGTAAGACCTGTCTCTAAATAAAATACAAAATAGGGCTGAGGATGTGGCTCAGTGGTTGAGTTCCCCTAAATTCAATCTCCAGTACCCCCCACTCCAAAAACAAACAAACAAAACAAAACAGCACAGAGTATATCACCTCAAACCTAGTTGATGATCAAGAAATATTTGTTAAATAAATAAGTGAACTAATTAAGCCAGATAACCAATATAAATTTTTCATGTTTTGATTGTTTTGGTTTTATATGAAGTGAGCTTATGTGATCCTAAAATTTTGGACATCAAAATTTTTATAATGACTGTGTTTGTTTGGGACAGTGTTTTTTTTAAAAAAATACAATATGAAAGGAGAATTCTGCATTTTAAATCCAAATTTGAAAATGGAAAAATATGCTTCACACATAGGGGTAATGTGCTAGACAGTCTGTAGATTCTTCATCTTGATTAACGCACAAACTTCTTTTTCACTATTGCAGGGTGGAAGGTGAAGGGGAATATACCGATATCTATGGACTAGAATGGAGTGGTAACTTCCATTTCACAGCTGCTCCAGGCCTGAGACTAAAGTTCCAAATGTAGATGTTTTGCACTGAAGTTTAAATGTGGCAATTGAAGCCTTTAGTTGTAAGCAGGGCAGCTAAATTTGTTATCTGAAATGACTTCATACATAACCTTCACAAAATTTCCAATAAAACTATCACTCACTTATGCCTTTTTGAATTTTATTTTCATTATCATATAGTTTTGAATATATTATGTGATTCAATTCAGAGTTTGCTTATTTTAATACATATAGCAGAAATATCCAGATCTTGGCAAAGTTAATTTTCCAATCCTGGATTTTTGTCATCTTTTTTTTCCCCTTGTTTGTGCTTTCATGTTTATTTTTGGAGAAAAAAAAAATTTCCCTGCATTATCCTTTGTAAGTATGCAGATATTTGGTCCCTACTGAAATTTTTTATTGTTGTGATAATGCTTACATGAAGTCTACCCTCTTAACAAACATGTTGTGTACAATACATTATTACTGACTACAGGTATAATGTGGAACAAATCTCTATAGCTTATTCACCTTTTTAAAAATACACATGAAATAATTTTTTAAACTATTTTTTTAGTTGTCAACGGACTTTATTTATTTATGTACGGTGCTGAGAATCAAACCCAGGGCCTCACACATGCTAGGCAAGTGCTCTACTGCTGAGCCACAACCCCAGCCCTAATTTTAATTTTGAAGAATTCCCATAGTGGCTGCAACTTTTTATATTCCTACCCACAATGTGCAGAGTTTCCAATTTTTCCACATCCTCACTGACATTTGTTGTCTGGTTTTTTTTTTTTTTTTTTTTTCTTTTTTAACATACTGGGACTGAGCCCAGGGGCACTCTACCACTGAGCTATTTCCCTAGTCTAAATTTTGATGCAGGGTCTCACTAAGTTGCCCAAAGTGGCCTTGAACAAGCAATTCTCCTGCCTCAGTCTCCTAGGTAACTGTGATTACAGGCATAGTTCACTGTTCCTGGTTTGTTGTCTTTTGTCTTTGAGAATAGCCATCCTGACAGGCTCTGAGGCAGGAGGATCACAAGTCAAAACCAGCCTCAGCAACTTAGTGAGACCCTGTCTCTAAATAAAACATAAAAAAGAGCTGGTGATGTGGCTCAGTTGTTAAGCATCCTGGGTTCAATACTAGTATCAAAAAAAATTTCTTAGACCATTTTAAAATTGGGTTGTTAGGGCTGGGGATGTGGCTCAAGCGGAAGCGCGCTCGTCTGGCATGCGTGCGGCCCGGGTTCGATCCTCAGCACCACATACAAACAAAGATGTTGTGTCCGCCAAATACTAAAAAAAATAAATATTAAAAATTCTCTCGGGGCTGGGGATGTGGCTCAAGCGGTAGCGCGCTCGCCTGGCATGCGTGCGGCCCAGGTTCGATCCTCAGCACCACATACAAACAAAGATGTTGTGTCCGCCGAAAACTAAAAAATAAATATTTAAAAAAAAATTCTTAAAAAAAAAAAAAAAATTCTCTCTCTCTCTCTCCCTCTCTCTCTCACTGTCTCTCACTCTCTCTTTAAAAAAAAAAATTGGGTTGTTAATTTTTTTACTTGAGTTGTTCAGAGTTCCTTATATATTTTGCAGATTAACTCCTTATCAGATATTGGGTTTGTGAATATTTTCTTAATTCCATAGGTTGCCTTTTCAATCTGTTGATTGTTTGCTTTGCTATACAGAAGATTTTTGTTTGATATAGTACCACTTGTTCATTTTTTGATTTTGTTGCCTGTGATTTTGGTGTTATATGCATGAAATCATTGCTAAGATCAATGTCATGAAGATTTTCCATTGTGTTTGAGCATCACATTAAAAGGGTCATATACCATGATCAAGTGGGATTTATCACTGGGAGGCAAATGTTAAGTAGCAGTTACACATGAGCAGTGGGTCAGGGGTTTAAGAAAATACTTAGTACAGGGTAAATCAGTTAATCTATATCTCTGAGTGGCACCACAAGTTCTGACAAGATAGCTACTTCAGGACCCTTGCCTGATCTCACTCTGTAAATTACCCATTTTACAACAGGAGGAAGATAGATGGACTCAGGGGTTAAGAACCAGAGGATAACGAGGATATGTTTTCTCAGAAGGGCCTAACTGCTAAAATCATCTTAAGACTCTGCACAAACAACACAGAGATACCCAGATCTAGGAAAGCAGGATGATTAAGACCGGAGCCAATGGACCATAAATTCTGTAAAAGAAAAGTTCCAATTAGCACTTGCCAGCAGGGCCAGGATGACTGAGAGTTGCCCTTAGATTGTTAACATAGCTTTATGATATCATTGTAACTGTAATTTTTCTTCCCTGGGTTTCACTTAGATACCTACAGATAAAAACATGTGCAGTAGAGGTTTAGGAATATAATCTGTCAATCCAGAGCAAAGAGGTGATACTTAAGCAGAATCTTCTAACAACTTCTCCTCTACTCCAATAAAACTAAGTTCACAAAGAAGTGAATTATAGATCTCTTTGAGACAACCCACTGTCTTCCTTGGGGATGGCTTTTATCTTAATAAACGTTGCTATACTTTCATTATGTTTTGTGTCTTGCTTGAAACCATCTCTTTCAAGAACACAAGAGACAAGAACGCTAATGCAATTCTCTGGTAACCAAGGATGGTTCAACATATGAAAATCAATCAATGTGATAAACCATATTATAGTACATTGGATAAAAAAATCACGATTATCTCAATAAATGCAGAAAAAGCATTTTATGGAGTTCTGTACCCTTTCATGATATAAATTCTCAACAAACTGGGAAGCTATTTCAAAATAATATAGGTTTTATATAAAAAACCCACAGCTAACATGATATTCAACAACTAAAAACTGGAAACATCTACTCTAAGATCTTGCCACTTCTATCTTTAAAAAATGTATATATTTGTTAAAGGACACTATCAATAAAGTGAAAATACCACAGAATGGTAGAACATGTTTGTAAATCATATATATGATTGTCATAAATTTGACATAGTCTAGGCGCTGTGGCATATACCCATAATCCCAGTGGCTCAGGAGGCTGAGGCAGGAGGATCACAACTTCAAAGCCAGACTCAGTAATTTAATGAAACACTAAGCAACCTAGTAAGATCCTGTCTCAAAATAAAAAATAAAAAAGGCTGAGGATGTGGCTCAGTGGCTAAACACCACTGGGTTCAATGTCTGATACAAAAAAAAAATAAGTTTCTGCCTCAGCATCCAGTTTTAGTCCTGACATGGGTTGGTTGAAACACAGCCATATCCCATCCTTTTCTCTCTCTTTGTGATTTGTTATGATGTAGCATACTTGCTCCTCATCCTACTGACCCAAAACCCAACACATCCCATAGCTGGTGAACCCAATAAAATCTGATCATCAACAAGAGTCACTTAAGTTTTCCTACTTCCCACATTCTCTTTAAATGAGCCAGTCAACAATCACCAAGGTAAAGCCTAAGTGGTAATACCCATGCACCTTAACAAAGGCATAGCCCCACAGGTCCTTTCTCCTCCCACTCCCCACCTGCTAGCCAGGTTCCCTGTAACCCCTGGGTTTCCCTAAACTCTCTGGGACCTGTTAGATAAGTTTCTTATTTTGATTTTGCCTCCTCATTGTGTTTCACCTGACTGACACACATAAATCTGAATTTCACCCTTTCAGTTTTCTCCTTGACATTGTCCATTTTGGCTTATGGATGTCAAAACCAAATTAGAAAAAAATCATAACAATAAAATCATAACACTGATAATATTCTAGTCTCCAGAATATAATAAGAACTCTTAAAACTCCATAATAAAAAGACAACCCAGAGTTGGGGATGTCACTCAGTGGAAGAGTGCTTAAAGTCTTGAGTTTGATTCCCCATTGTCACAAGGGGGCAAAATTGCAACGTATTCGGTCAAGGGGAGAAATAAAGAATGTCCCGTGCCTCTGCCCCTTTCAATACTTTATTCACTCAAATTACTCAATACAATTTCACTCTATAGGTTCTTAATCAAGAAAACGACAATCCTTAATGCTAGGCACTGCAATAGACATAATCAATTCACAGCAAACAATTCTAGATTAATTAATTCATAGCAAACAATTCCAAATTAATTCTAAGCACTGCAAAACACACTTAATCATGCCAGGCTAATGACAGACCTTCCCTCTGTATGCTAAGTTCAAAAGTCTTAAGCCTTAGGCTTTATGTCCAGCAGATGCACACTCATTCAGACCGTGGTGACCAGGTCCGGAACCAAGGCAGGCTTTTCCTGGTGTGGAGTGGATAAATGGTTGAGGAGAGGGTGGTAGGGAGGAGTTGTGGCTCTCACCAAGGTCCAGATGAGGCAGTAGAGTTTGAGAGTGGTGAGGATCACACAGAGGCTCAGGAAACAAAGACAAGTGATGGGATGTCAGGTCCTCATCAGGCTCTCCTGCTCGAGTACATCCTTGTTTCGGCTGGCTGAATCCTTGTTCATTTGCTCTATTATTTATACTAAATTTGGGGGCTTTTTGACCCCCCTTTCAATCCTTATCAGCTACCACTGAATTTCTCAGTGACATCATTTACCCTAGGGTCAGAAACAGCTGGTCTGGTGGTCTCCACCCTGATCTTCTCGTCTTTCCCTCTTACCAGGTGAGGACAGCTTGCCAGGGGCTTCTCTCTGTTTATCAGGGTGAGGGCAGTAACTTGTTTGTGGCCATACTGGAGGGCTCTGTGGGTGTGCCTGGTGAGACTGCAGGTTTCAAACTGGAGTTTTTAAAATGGAATTGCTTAGGCTCAGGCCTAAGGCCATCCTCACACCCATCATCATCCCCACCTTCACTACACACACATATACAAGTCAACCCAGTTAAAAAATGGGCAAAGGATTTGAATATACATTTCTTCAAAGATATATAAATGACCAATAAGTAAACAAAACAATGCTCATTACTCTTTAGAGAAATTCAAATCAAATCAGATGGTTACATTTAAAAAGCAAATCAAAACTGACAATAACAATTGGAATCCTCAAGTATATCTGCAGGAATGTAAAATAGAGTAGCTACCTGTGGACAGGTCTTTTTTACTTCCTCAAAAATTTATTGTATGACTCAGCAATTCCTAGGTATATACCTAAGAGAATTGGTTTTTATGTGAATGTTGATAGACATTACTCATTGCTGAGGTCTGAATG